TATAGTTGAACTAGGCATGCTGCCCAGCTTTGCTTAGGCTTTCGAAAACATTGAGAATTTGAATGCTTAATTAATTCGCCCGAGGGTCGGTCTACGACCTCAGGAGTTATGAAGAGGTTCCTCCGTGGACATTTTTTTTCGATTTATAGCTCATATAAGGCGCCGGTCAGTCGAGGTCAGTTTTGACCCCATCATCGTAGACTTTTCGGCCAACCGGCCCCCGTGTTCTGTCGCCCCAAGGCAAGATCCTGCCAAATTTGAAGCGCCTGCGGCGCCGGGAAGTGCCCTATCGGGCACCCGACAACTTTGCTTTATATATTATAGAGATTAGCAAATTGCATAGATAAACAAAGATTTCAATAAAGTAATTAAGGCCTGAAATACTTTAGTATAGAAATGTATTATTTGAATAGATGAATCTAGAATATCTAAATCTAGAATCCAAATAAATAAAATAAATTTTATGAGTTTAGGCCGGAAAAATTGTATTGTATACATTTCATAGTGTACGTAGATCTAAATCAAATTTGAATGAAATAGTTCATTTCTTTTTATTGAAAACACGGCAGACGACGTCATTAGTTAATGTATAAGCAATAGTGACGTCACAGTTTTGTGCGTTCTTTTTCACATCTATTAATGCTTTTCCGGTTGCATAAATAATACTGTTTCTCTACATTCGAATACGCCTTTAATTTTTATGTTTCTTCTTTAAATAAAATTGTGGTTATACATTTCAAACATCTAACATATTATTTTCAACAAAAGTCCGTATAAAGTTCTCCATATATCGCTGCCGTTTCTGACGTGATGTCCGGCGAAAATATTTTGCGGACAGACAGAGAGAGAGAGAGAGAGAGAGATGTGCGAACGTGGGGTTTTATATATTAGGATACAATGTTGGCCTATGGTTGACTCTTATTCTCAGAAGGATTTTAGTTTAGAAATAATTAAGTGGTCGTACAATAGTAGCGGTGATCCTTCATGTGTAGTTTTTTCTAAGCTTTTATTTCGTTCTTCACGTTTGTTTGTTTGTTTTTCTGGGATGTAGAAAATCTTGTAACCTAATTATGATTCATTTCTAATGCAGCGATTTCGTTTAAACTTTCCAGATGCATTCTCGAGCGCAATTTCATCATGTCTCTGGTTATAGCCTCTTTTGGCTGTCATCGTTTGCACTTGCCCTATGGTGTCAATCTGAGAGCAGTCCTAGCCGATACTTCGGCTCTCACTTTTAGCACATGCCCCATCCATCTTGATTTTCATTGTCTAACAACTAATATTAATGTTCAAATGAGTGTTCTTCTTTCTCCATTTGAGATAGTGTTTCGCTACAACATTCGCAATGCTTGTCGTCAGCATTTTAACTGCTTAGCTCCACACAAATGAAGAGCTGCTGTTCATCCACTTCCTTTTTTCAATATTATTATTTACGGTTAACTTGTAAATGCAAATAACCTTGCACCACTTATAACACAACAGTGGAGTTAAATATGTACTAAATAAAAATGAAACACATCATTGGGTAATGATACAGAAGTATTGTACATTCGTGAAGAAAAAACCGGATGTCTAATATTGCTGAAACTCCTCCATCCTACTCTATATAAAACATAAATAACTGTAGCTTTCAATTATTATTGAATTAAATTAAAGTATCCAATTATTTATTATTAATATTTCAATTTCTTATACTGGTACTTCTAAATTGTAAATACAATGTTCTCAACAACAAAAAATAATTGTATGTAATCAACCTTACCACATCTCCGTACATTAAGGTCCCAGGTATTCTGACGAAGTAACGTTCAACACGATTGGTTACTTTGCTGACTGGTATACTGGTCACAACCAACCTTCTGGGCAAGAAGAATGACCCCTTGACCCCTACTACATCATGACGTCCCTTCCTGCAGTCAAATTGCGAGCAAAGATCTTGAACAATAGTAAACGCTGAACAGTTCACGTTGTTCATGCAGCCGATGCCGCATTGGATGTTGGAGGCCGTTATAACAGGCTTGGGTATACAGTTAAACAGGGCAAAATCTGACATCAAGGTAAACGTAGTTGTACAAGTGTTTAATGAAGAAACACAGTAAGCCGCTTGATTTAAATATAGGACAAAGCCCACAAACACAAAGAGAACTAATTCGGCAGTATACATTTTATTTCTTTTCGTTGCAATAATCAGTTCTAATGCTGTTATACAATCGGCTTCTTTCTCAAAATAAAATTATCTTCTGGTCTTCCTATTTTTTAATACCAGCCCTCTGTCAGTCACAGACTCTGTCAATAACGGCAGTTGCTGAATTTCTAAACATCTAAAAGCTAACGACGCTGCTGTCTTCAGGACCTTAAAAATGCTGCAGCACCTATGTAAATAAAGAAAACAAAAATCATTTCTTTGCGACAAAATATAGATTTTCAAAACATTGTTACGAAAGTAAAATGTAAAGTTTTCTTTCCAACAACAATAACAATCGCATTAAACATTCATACATTGACAGTAGGTTAAACCATTCGCCATGACTTGAAATATCTTTCTGTTATCGATCAAAGCCTATATTAATTTTTTCCACTTTAAATGTTAAATACCAAAATGAAACAAATTATTGGAATATTATTATCTGAATATTATTTCAATAGTATATTTTTAAAAGCAAATTGAGGAAATTAAAACAAATGGGCAAGATTGTACCTAATAATAAATGTTTATGTTAATAACCCGTTGTCTAGACGTCTTATATTTAACCTTCAGAATTTGTACGGCTCTGCAGTCAGTCATAATTGATGAGTGTTTCAAAACACGCATTCAATTGTAAAATAAACAATGCAAATGGTTTTATTCTTCGCTGAATATATGATATTCGTCGTAAGCATTTTGTATCGTAAAATATTCTATGGGTATTTGAAAACCACTCCAAAACGATTGTGTTTTATGATAGGAAAGCGAGCATTTCAAAACTGCGTGTACATTCTGCATGATATTGATTTTTAGAGTTGAGTAAACTGTGCAACATTGTAGTATCATTGTTGCTTCAGTTTTATTGTTGCCTCGATAATTGACCTTGTTCCCATCCAGTCCTAATTATTTTAAAAATAATGTTTTTAACGGGGAGGTAGGCACATGGTTGCTAACCAGATGTCCCGAGTTCAAACCCTCGAGCAGATGAGCCTCGTCGTCTGTAGACAGTAAATCCTTCTAGGAGAGAAAAATCTGAAATCATTCAGGAGTGGAGCCTTGTAGGCGATAGGAAACTCTGGTGTTGGTGTTGATATTGGTTTTGGTGTAGGTATTGTTGTTAGAGTTGGTGTTGGTGTTGGTATTGGTGTTGGGGTTGGGGTTGGGGTTGGTGTTGGTGTTGGTGTTGGTATTGGTGTTCGCATTGGAATAGGCAAAGACTTGGGCAACGACTTGGGCATGAGCATTAGCATAAGAAAATACGAAAGCTTAAGCATGTGCACACGGATACTCCAATGTATATTTAATCTTATGTACAAACAAATTAAAATACGTATGAAAAATACAAGTAAACATCGCACCATGTAGTGCTTTTCAGTGCATCGCAGTGTCTTTTATAAGTTGTAGAGTAGGGTTTGTTTTTATAACGACATAAAGTTATTTTATAGTTGCCACTGTATTTACTCTTTTGCATAACGTAAAGAAAATATTAAATACACGCACATTGCTAAAACATATTAAAAGGATCAATGTCAAATATCATTTTCGTTTATATTCCTAGAAAAAGTGGATACATTTTTATAACAGTAGGTAGAAAAAACTAATTAATTTAACTTTTTTTTTTGTTGTAATTTTTGCAAGGGAGGTAATTTAAAAGTAAATTTAACTCATCAATAATTTAAGTTAATTTTTTTTATTAGTACCGCATTGATTATTATATGTTAAGGTTCATAATTAAAATAGAAATCTGTTAAGATTATTTATATTATTTTCTAATTAGTCTATGATTTCTTAAAATCACTATTTTTTCTTTTGTTTTTCGGTGTTATGAAAACAGATGGTAAAATTAGACTTTTTGAGAATAACGGAAAGGCTCTCTCTGGGCGCAGACCTCGGGTAAAACGTGTTTTTAATATTCAACTCACTCTCAATTATTTAAGTTAATTTTTTTATTACTACCGCATTGATTATTATATGTTAAGATTCATAAGTAAAATAGAAAAATGTTAAGATTATTTATATTATTTTCTTATTAGTCTATGATCTCTCTAAATCACTATTTTATTGTTTTTGTTTGTCGGTGTTAACAGATGGTGAAATGTTAGAATTATAGTATAGAGAATGCTGCAGAGGCGTAGCGAGGGGGGCTGGGGGGGGGACATATGTCCCCTGGCGCCGACTTTATGGGGTACGCCAAAATGGGTTGGAAAAACAAATTGAAAGTTTAAAGGGGGGGGGGGGTTCAAATCAAATGTTCGACGGGGGGGGGGTGTAAATAAAAAGTTCGATGGGAGGTGCAAATCGAATGTTTGTCCCCGGGCGCCGGGAAGGGTCGCTACGCCTCTGCTGCACCGCTCACTTTATGGCCTATATGCGCTATTATAATCTTTTTCGCTAACAATATTGTGAAACAATATTTGTTCAGCGCTGTTTAAACAATAACTTCTTTAACAAATAGACAAAATATCCCGTATGTCTATTTTAAAATAATTTTTAAATGTTAAGCTTCCCAAATAAAGTGTTATATATAGGCCTACATAGCTAATATGTCTTTCAAAATCTTTAAAAAAATGTAAACATCAAATTTAACTTAACTTTTTTTTATTTAAACATTTCACCAGTCAAACTATAAATAAGAATATTTTGCTTAAGATTATACTTATGTTTTAAAATTAAAACCAAAATAACCCTTATTTCGATCTCTAAAAAGTAACAACAAAACATAAGTATCAAACAATTTAAAAACCCATTTACACTAAATAATACATTTTTGGCGAGTCGTGTACTTTTATTTAAATATCAACTTGTTATTTTCAGGTAGAGAAAAAATATTTACATACATTGAAATGTCTAATTTTCATACTAAAAGTAATTTTATTTCGTATTTAAAGTGTTTATATATATATAAACCGAAAAATAATTATGGCAATATTTACATTTCAACACAAAATATAAACTTAGATGTTTTATTAGTTTTTCTTCTGTTTCCAACTACTTCATGTTTACACATGTTTGCTGACTGCAGCATCGAAGGCATCCCAATCAATAGGAGCATCACCTAGTTCCTCTGCATCTTTGAGAGCCTTCCTAAGGTTTTCAAATGTGGCATTATTTCCTTGCTTCTGCCTCCACTTTATAAACAAGTTTGGGATCGCCCTCGTGATGTTGTGCCCAACATTTTCGAGCTCCAGTTCAATCTCAGCTTTAGTGAAACCCAGTATCAACATCACACTCTGCCAGCCAGTCCCTAGACACCGTACAAGCCTAACCGCGTCTGCATCTGTTATCTTATTTGATTTGATCTCCGCGATGGCTGAAAATATAAATCAATATTTACTTGTTTCAAATTGTCAAAATATTTTGAAAAAATTGGCAAAGTAAAATGTTTCACCATAAAAAGACAATATTGTGGAGTGTATTAAGATAGGCTTGTGTAAAGTCTGGGGAAAATGCTGTAGAACAAAAATTGGACTTATTTTTATAATAATAGATTGATTAACGATAATTATGAAAGTATTATTTATTTAATTTTTCTTAGGATAAACGTCTTATGGCAGGCAATGAAATAAAAACTTATGCATGTAAATGAAGATTAATAAAAAAAATACGTTAAAAATACGCAACTTAGAAAATAATAGAAATGCTGTTTAAATAAATATTAACTGATTCTTAAAACTTGACAAAAGGTCTTTATCAAGCATTTTGATTGCTCTTCCATTCTTTAGGAATAAACGCATTATGTTTATTTCTTCCCAATTCCAATGCAATTTCCATTTTACAAAAATATTGAAACATTAACAAGTAAATAATCGCAATGTGAATTAAAAAGAGCAATTAATTAATGGTACAAAAACTTTGCAAAGTATCATAAGTTGATTAAATTATTTAAAATTTAAGTTATGTTATAGAAAGTTTAATCGCGTTGTTTGTCACTGCGAACAAAGTTTTGATTTAGTCAAGCTTTCAAAAGATGTGAAGTTCTATTTTCGTTTGGAAAAGACTCATCATTAAGATGTGATAAAACGTGTGTCTAAATTTCTAATTTGCTTCTAAAAAAATAAATAACAAATTTAACTAATTAAAATATTCTTACCAGTAAATTTATATTTTCTTATAACACTCTCTTTATCCTCATCGCCGTTAAGTGGGCTTGCAGAATTCTTCTTAGTCTTACTATAGCCTTTAACAGAACATGAAATGTGGTTTCGGTAATTGTTGTAAAAATTGATTTCACTAAAATATTTTGGCGTTTAAATCAAAGAAAAATACTCAATATTGTTTACATAAAATTAAATACTACATTCATATTATAAATTGATATCTAATTTTAAGAGGTCTATGTTTAAAGTACAATAATGGTTTTAAGTTTTTTCCTACTTTTTACAAAGTTGTGCCCCATTAATTCATTGGCGTTGGCTCTTTTATTTGGAAACTTTTCACAGGCTAGACTTAAAAAATGTTTTAGTTTTAAAGAGCAATTTTCAGGAACATTTAACTCTAGCTCATTAGCAGACCCCTTTTTGATAACATCCGTCACTTCAATATCGCTGAAAGGAATTTTTCCCGTCACCATCTGAAAAACTGTACACCCAAGGCTCCTGTTGAAAACGTTCGTATATAATTTTAAATTTCATGTTAAATGTAATAGAAATACAGTATTGGGACTGTAAGAATGTTTTAAAATAAATATCTCAAACCATATATCAACTTTGCAATCGTATTTAATATCCTGGAACATTTCAGGCGCCATCCAACTGACAGTTCCCTTTCCTTGCGTGCTTGCACGTGACAGTGTGTTGAGGATTTTAGCCACACCAAACTCAGAGATTTTGATGTTGTTTTCATCTTTCAAGAGAATGTTTGAACCTAAAAATAAAAGAGAGTTGGCAGCTAATTTTTAAGCTCATCAATTAAGTTCAATATATGCCATTGGGAGGGTTTTTTAGCATGATAACTAAAAATTTTTAAGTACATACTGTAAAGTAGATTAATATAAGTTTGACTATATAACTGTAAGTACATAAAGTAGATCATTAAACAAATTTCAAAGATATTTAAATAAAAAAAATATTTTAGTGTGTCTTAAAAAAAATATAACGCTTTTGAAAACAAAAATAATTATCTGCTAAAGTAATACTATTCTGCAAAAAAACAATTTTATGTTTGTGCAAAATTTACGATTGCATTAATGAATAGAAAAATTACAGTAAATATTCAGAGTGACATGCAAAGTGTTTTTAATGCGTTACATAAAATATATTCGAATTGTATAACTACCTTTGATATTTCTGTGTATTATCTTATTAGCATGCAGATATTCAAGTCCTTCAAGTATCTGAAATGTGAACAAAGCAGCTTTGTCTTCTTCAATGTGTCCCTCTCGTTGTGAGGTAATATACCTCGCCAAGGAACCCTGAAAAGCATGTATAATTTTTAAAAATCGAATTGTAAATATTTTAGCTGGACTGCTAACCCGTAATTCGTTAGTTCAAGTCAATAGACCGTCCCTGTCCACCAAACTCTGATGGGTACGTTAGGGAGAGTAAAGGCGGCTGGGCATAGTGCTGACCACACTATCTCTTCATATGCCGAGGTCACAGAAATAAAGTGAACTCTACTTCATTTGCCCTATAGACCGACAGGTTTGAAAGGAACTTTACTTTTATATATTTTTACAAAACTTTATGAGATAACTCGGATGTGTTACGATGGTAATCCTCTATAATATACTACATCACGAATAAGAAAAAAAGTAGTTTTTACTAACATAAAACCTGTAATTAAAAAAAAAATCGCGTTAACCGCCTATGATTAAATAGAAGACGTACCATTTCCATGTAGGCTATAAACAGCGAAAACACCCTGTCAGTTCTACTGTATCCGAAATACGTGATGATTCGAGAATGGTTCACTCGCTTCAGAACAAGCATTTCTCTGTCGATCTTTTGCTAAAATATTGTATTTATTTAATACATTTTTAAATGTATGCATAAATAACATTAAAAAGATAATAAATAAAAATTAGACACTTGTGAATATAGATAATATTAAATCCATTACATTGCTTTCAAAGAAAATTCCAGGATGTGCTTTAAATTCGACATATGGTTTTACCAGAATTCATTATTTTGCTTTTTACTTTCTCGTATATACGAAGTATAGAGAAAGTCTTGTAATCGTTCAAAAAAATAGAGATTTTTACAAATCTCGACGTTTTACACCTCACTGATACGGAAAAACATAATTTTGCAATCTTGTCCGTATGTCTGTGTGTCTGTGTGTGTGTGTGTGTCTGTCTGTCTATGTGTAAACACGATAACTTGAGTACCGTTACAGCTAGGTTGATGAAATTTCATATATAAGTATTTTATTAAAATCGTAGATCCGTATCAGCTTTTGAGCGATTTCCGATAACCGGAAGTGGTACTTTTTCTACTTTGAATTTTTCAAAAGCCTAAAACTTGAGTACTATTTAGTATAGATAAATGAAATTTCAGATGTAAGTAAAAGATCTATATCTATACCTTATGTCAAATTTTGAGTAATTTCTGTTGACCGGAAGAACTAAATTACGCTATTTTCTATTTCTCAAAAAAAAAAAACGCATGTAAATTTATAAAGTAGGCTACTAATAATATTGCGCACTATTATGCAAATTTTGTTTTGGCGTTCGCTTGGTGCGCAATTCTTTTTTCTATGAGATTCTATTCTATTTTTAAAAGTTTAAGTAATTAAAAATCATCTCTATATTCAAAGTTATATAAGAATACTCGAGAAAGTTTTGGGGAGATCACTCCCGGTTTATTTAAAAAAAATACCCGGAAATGATTTAAATTGAATAAATGGTTTATATATATATATATATATATATATATATATATATATATATATATATATATATATATATATATATAAAGCAGTCAAGATCTAGAATAATTAATATATATATAAATAAAAAAATAAAAATAAAAAAATAAAAATAAAAAATATATATATATATATATATATATATATATATATATATATATATATATATATATATATATATATATATATATATATATATATTATTCTAGATCTTGACATTTTAAAATTAATACATGTTTCCTACTGACTCCAAAGTTTTACTAATTAAATTCTATTTGTCATTCACCAACGTATCTTGAGTGACATCATCAGAAATAATGGCTTGTTTCACAGCGATCTCTTTTGTCTGTGTGTTGTTTAGATCGTTCACGTGATAAACAGTCTTTGATTTCCCTCTGATTCTGGCCCCAAGCCTCCAGTTGCTCGTTGCATCCTCGCCATCTAGACAGGACTTTCATTTTATTTTAAATATTGTATGATGCTTCACAATATCAAATTATTGTGTGTGTATATATCTATATTTATAATTATCTATCTATATAATTATATATATATATAAATATATATATAAATAGATGTAAATATATATATATATATATATATATATATATATATATATATATATATATATATATATATATATATATATATATATATATATATTGTACATTTATTGGCTATATGTTTATATACACACATTTATTTATTTATTTACTAATATGAATACATTAATTAACAGAAATATACATCTACCTCCAGAAAACGGCCCATCACTTGCATTATACATTTTACAAGACTATTTCACCAAAACCTCGATAGCACTAGACATTAATCCAAAAAAATATTCATTTAGATTCAAATATCAGGTCAAATTATAATGCACTAGAAATAATATTTCCATTGTACATATGTTTATTTGCTTAAAAAATGTAATTAATTAAGAATTTTTTCAAATTATTTAAAAGAGTAGGGTTTGGAAAAAGCTACTTAGCAACACGAAGTCACTTCCTTAAAAATCATTTTGGAAATTTCCGAAATACTTAGGAATTTTAACTGCGGGACCGTTATGATTTTCTATTTTTAACTTGTCAATATGCGACAATAAATTGTATAATTTATTAAATTCAATGAAAGAAAAATTCGAAAATCCATATCACAATAATATATTTTAAATCTTTATATATTTTTATGCGTTCTAATCTTGATTCGTTTTAAAAAGTACAATTTTTTTAAACGATTGCAAGTAGGCTATGTTACAATCTATTTTTCTTATATTAAATCCGTCTGCAGAGACACCGTTAGCCATACGGTGTCCTGGGTATTCTCCTCCAGTCGATTACCTCACAGGCAAACACGACCCTGCTATTGTAGAGTGCCTACAATGTTGAAACAGCCTGCAAAATAAATCGTATTTCATACTATTTTTAGGCATTCTACAGATTACCAAATAAAAACATAAATAAAGTAGAGACTAAGCACATTTATAAATCTATCACTATTCCCATTCCTTTTCCCGTCCCTATCCCTTTCATTAACCTTTCCCAAACTCTATTCCAATACAAATCCCTATCAGTGGCGTAGCTTGATCGGGTGTCACCCGGTGCGGCATTTCGTGGTGTCACCCCCTCCCCAAAGAAAATAGTATATATATATATATATATATATATATATATATATATATATATATATATATATATATATATATATATATATATATGTGTGTGTGTGTGTGTGTGTGTGTGTGTGTGTGTGTGGTGTGTCGACCTACATAGGCCTATAATACCCTGTCCTTTTGCAATAATTGTTAATTTGTCCTTAAAAGACTATTTAACTTTAATTAATCACTAATGGATTTGACAAAAAAAAAGCATTTTTTTTCTTACTTTTTGCAATTTTTTGCCTTGGTGTCACCCCCTAAAAGGTGTCACTCGGTGCGGTCCGCACCCCCGCCGCGCCCTCGCTACGCCTCTGATCCCTATTCCTATGTACTTTAGGGTCAGTAAGAACTCAAAAAATGTCTTATTCGTGTTTCATCGAAGGGGATAATCGCAGGGGTAATTAAATTAGCTTGGTTGGCGGTAATTAGCTGGAGGGTTATGTTTTCTTCCTATATAACTGATAGAAAGAATGGTCAAGAATGCATTTAACACTGTTTCATTATATTAAATGAAAACTGTACACATAACAAAGAACACTGAACACATAGCATATAATGTGTTATGGCTGTTAGACATACAGTATTAATAAACAGCAGTTATAAAAAATATTTTTGATTAACAGATGGTTACGGTATAATATATTATCAACGTGTATATGTATCTAAATACACACCTATATACATTAATACACACACACACACATATATATATATATATATATATATATATATATATATATATATATATATGCATATTAAAAACATGTAACATTCTGTGATAATGTGACACAACGCGTTAAATGCTTGGATAATTTATGTTTTCACACACGTTATATAAATGAAGTAGTACAAAACAACTTACTAAATGTTACTTAAGTCTAAAGTTGGGCCCATTATAATAAACTACCCATACAGATATATGATTATGCTAGATATTGATAAAATTTAGAAAACTCAAAAGAATTGGAAAAATGTTTTAATATATTATTTATGTTTAACCACAGTATCATATTAAACCTTCAGCTGACGAATAGTTGGTAAATCAGTGTTTTACACACGAAATTCATTCTACAAAATCTAAAAGTTGTTTAGTACTATGGTAACTAATACAGTATATTTGCAATGATACAATTGCCGTATGAAGGATGCTTCTCAGTTTAGTTATTTATAGCACAGTTTGTGTATGATTAACACATTATTTAACAGCCAGATAATTTTTAGAAGTTTAATACATATTATAAACAAACATTGTTATTGTCATTGAAAAAAGGTTACCTTTTTAAAATTCAATTGGTTGATATTTTCTTAAAGTAACAAAACTAATTTTAAAGATTAAAGCACTGTGAATATAATTAAAATACACATACTAGATTATATTATATTTTTAAATGTTTAAGTAAACAAAACCGTTCTGCTTTTAGTATTTTATCTCTAAGTCAACTTCATGCATGTTTGTATGCGCAAATGTGACGTTTAAAGACTTTATACAATGTATAAAAAGGATAAATACTTATTATTTAAAATTAAAATATGAAGATGGTGTAATTTAGAAATTGAAATAATTTATTACGCTTGATATAGTTATTTATATATTTTATCTAATTTATGTGTGCTTACTTTGAATTTTTACAAGCTATTTTACATGAGAATCGCCTGAATTAAACAATTTAATGTGAATAAATTAATACAAGAAATACATAGCGCTACAATAATAACATAATAAATAATAATAATTGTAAGCTTTTATAACCAAGCAACAAGCCAAGACTATTTCAACGATAGAATAGAAGAACAATTTACCAAAGCTGTTATTCCATACTTTTATACACATATTGTTTGCCGTTCACTAAGTTCGCACTTCTTTTTCTACGAGATTATATTATATTTTTAAATGTTTAAGTAGTTAAAACTGCATAAAAAATCATGTTTATATCCCAAGTTGCCATCCTCGGTAATGTTATATAACAATATTTGAGAAGGTTTAGGGGTGATCACTCCCGGTTTATTTTACGTGTATTTAAAAATGAAGAAAAAATATGAAATTACTTTTTTTTTTAATTAATAAAATTAAAATTAAAAATATTTTTTTTAAGTAACTCACAATTTAGGCTGTATATTGAGTATGTTTATTATGCATTGCATATGTCGCATTCGGGCAAATGTCCATTCGAGACTTTCGGGAAGCGTCCGGCTCCCGTATGACATATACAATTCTGTCAAATTTTTAGTAATTTTCTTTTACCGGAAGTAGTAATTTACGCTATTTCCAATTACTCAAAAAAAAAGAATGTGAATTTATAAAATATTAATAATATTCCTCACTCTTATACGCATATTGTTTGGCATTCAATTAGTGCGCAATGCATTTTTCTTCGAGATTCTATTCCATTTAAAAAAGTTTAAGTAATTAAAAATGGATTAAACATGTTGTCTATATCCCGAGTTGCCATCCCCGAAGTGTTATATAAAAATATTCGAAAAAGTTTAGGAGAGATCACTCCCGGTTAATTTCTAGTGACCCCACTGCAGCAATCACAACCTAAATAAAATGTATAAACGTATAAAACACAAAACAATTATTACAATTATTTCTGGTTATTTTACGAGGATTAAGTAAAATTTTCACATGTTCTACCTGTTGGAATGTAACAAAAATCAACAAGCTCTTTTAAGACTATAAACTTTGTACTGTCCTTAATAGCTAAGCAAAAGGTGAGAATGATGAATCTTTCCTTCAAACGGTATTTTCAGTCTTCATTTGCATATCTACATTTGAGTTGTATATATATATATATATATATATATATATTGCTTCAAACCTGTTACTTATTCCCCTTTTCTAAATAGTCAAATAGGAGTGCTCATAAGCTCGTTTTAATAGTTTTGTACTAAACAAACTAAAGAAAAAATAACTTCTTTAAATTATTATTTTTATAGAAAAATACATACTGAAGAATGACATAGTACAAAAAAGGAAATGTATTTAAAATTAATCATATATATAAAAAAAAATTAAAAATAACAAGAGAAACCATTACACATACAAAGCTTTTATGTTTTACATTCTTTCGACCAACTAAAGTTAAGAAGTGTTACGGCAGACAGAAAACAGTCGAAGATTTCCCATTGCATCTCTATCAAGCTTCAGTAGGTTTAGAAATATTCCACGACAGTTCACTAGCTTTCAATGTTCCCTGTGTGTAATTGATGGCTGTATTAATAATTATGCAGTTGCAAGTAACAATTTGATGGAATCATGTTAAATATTAAAGAAACATTATTTCATAGGAATGCACAAAAATATTATTCACACACAGTTTTAAAAGCATTATCACCAGCCAAGATGGTCGGCATAAGCGTCAACAACCTCCAATTTGCCGCATCACACTTTGACATATAATAAAAGTATTAAAAACAGGGTATTAACACACATTATCATTCAAGTTTTCGAGCCCAAATATTTTTTTAAATAAATTTTCAATAGTCAGGTAAGTGTGCTTAACTTCTATTTGTACATTTTCAATCAAAATGCATATGTATTAAATCAATATTTACACAAGTACTTATGAGGACAGTCACTCAGGCCACACGGTCATATATTTAGGATTTCTTGGAATTGGCAGATTTTGATGCGGATTTAAATAAATATTATTTTAATGATATATTATAGAATTGAACTAAAAAATATTGATATATTTAGAAGAAGGTTAGCATATAGTTTACATAAAAAATAGTGTAACTGAATTTAGATTTAAAGTAGTGAAAGTATAGCGAAAAAAAAGATAGCCGTTGCAGGTAGTTTACTAGGTTTAGTAGTTTTAAGTTCTATGCCTAAGTACAGTTCTAGTTGTATGATTTGTTAGTTATATGTATTGCAGAAAATTGTCCAGCATGTAGGCCTACGTTAGATATACCTATAGACTAGTAATAGTCCATACTTCTAGATATATTGGTAAATTTTAATCAGTAGACATAAAACAGTAGACCACAGAGCCAATTCTAAATACACGGAGCTCACTTCTATTTACACCGTAGTGTAAGCCTGGCATAACATTCTATAGATGGTTTAGACCAAATCTATTTAAATCAATATGATTAAAAAATATTCCCTTTCAATTCATCACCATATACTTATAGATCTAGTATTCATTTACTTTTCTAGATATTCTGTCAACTGAGAATTATCTATATGAAAAAGAGGATGAGTGTCTCATGAAGAAGTTCGTTAGTTGGTGAGACTACTGATTACATAGGCTAGTGCTTCAACTTCACTACACTGAATCAGAAGAAATGGGCGATAATAATAAGTCTGCCAGAGTTTAAAAAAGACAATTGACCAGTGATGCAGC